CAATGCCATTAGTTCTGTTGATCTTTTTGGAGAATCTGAAGCAGCAAATTTGGGTATGTCCATCAGAACCCAAAAAGGATTATTCTTTTGGAACTGCACTGTGATAATTCATAACTTAACACCATAGCTTTGCTGCCCTCAGTTCCATATTGAGGACCGTTTGGTACAGAGCAGTGAGTAGAGTAAGACTTGTGAAAATGTGCGAGTTCAAGCAGTTAAGTTCTCTCTGATAAGCGTCGTTCTTTATTTGGCAAAGATCTGTCAGGCTTCATATTTATATTTTTTCTTCCCTGCAGGTGGTGTATCCATTGGAAATGTACTACCGGCAGCTGACATTGCTCAGTTCAAGCAGGGAGTAAAGTCGGTTGCTGGCAAGATGGCTGTCCTGGCCAACGGTGTGATGAACTCGCTGCAGGTGAGAAGTGAGGGGAAGCTATTCATTATACTTATACGCCATGTCAACCAAGATGACATTGGACTTTTCCCTCATTTTATTTTGTTAAGTAGTAAGTTGGGTTGAAAGAGAATGATTAGCCCATAATCACCTGATGAGTTTTTGTGGTGGTGGACGAATTAAAACCTGAGTCTCCTCAGTGCTAGTCTAGTGTCTAACCACTGCACCATACAGGAGTCCCAGTCAATCTATTTACTATTAAATTTTAGAAGAGCTTTTAAAGGTGTAATTAATATGCTTCCATGAACAACATATGTAATATTTGAAGAAACTCATATGATGGTGTAGACTGGGTAATTCTTTTATATTTTGAAAGCATGTTGTGGGTTCCATTGGAGAATACAGTCAGTTATGAAACAATGGGTGAAATTGCTCCTGTCATCCCCTCTGCCTACTTACAGTTCTCTCTCTGCCTAGATTATTATTATTTTTCTGGACAGTTGAGCATGCTTCTAAACAAGAGTTGCCATTTTTCACCACCAGTGTAAAATCCAAAATGTTACTGAAAATAGTGATAATGCTGGAGGCTGGCCACTTACATTTCAACACGCCTGTTTCCTATATTTTTTTTTGAAAGAGAAGAATTTAAAAGACAATTTTAAAATAGGGGTCCTGGAGCCTTATGCACATCTTGATGCTCATGGACATCACATTGTTTAATTCTGCCAAATGGGGTATAAAAGCACTAATTTAAGTACTTCCAAGACAACTAGTTGATTAGTCCACTTTAAGAAGTATTGCATTTTTCATGGTCAATTTGAATTTGCAAATTTTATAAAGCTACATGGATCCAGTTGGATAATTTCACTGTATGCAAATAAGGTGATATTAAAACATTGATTTTGAGTAGAAGCATTGATAATACAGCAAGATGTATCTCCTAATACTGTACTTATGTGATTTACAGCCCTATCTGAACTGTATTTATATAGTATGCAGTAAAATAAATCCTTAGAGACTTCTGAACTTTCCAAAAGGGATAATCATATGAAAACAAACTTAAACATAGTATATAGACATCAAGACAAGACCCAACAAGAGCGCTTAATATTTTCTGTATTGTTGACTGACTAGCCAAGATTGCTGATGAGATATAAAATAGTAGGAAATTCAAGGATAAAAATACAGAAACTAAAGTGAAGAATCTTCCCCCCAAAAACCATGTTGTTAGTGCATAAATTCAGGAGTTTTGATTAGACTCAACATACAAATTTGGTGGATACATTAAGGTTCATATTTCCTATGTACTTAATAATGTGGCAAAAAGAACCACTTTGGACTTTCTTGAATAGTGACCCAGATTCCATTCTGGTTCGGGCTTAGTTCAGGCCTGGTGTGCAAGCCTTGAGTTCAAGACTGTTTTTATATTTTGTGTTAATTATGTAAACATGCACATTCAAAGAATTGTCCAATAATGAAGCTAAAATTCCCATGCTGATCTTTTTCTGACATTCTGGGAGGATTACATAGACTTCTCCAATATTTTTTGTGGACCATCTCACTATTCAGATCTTAATAGTTTAGTAAAACCTTTGTTTTTGGTATGACTGGCTCATAAGCACTAAGTTTTGTTTATCAGCTTTGGACTAGTTTTTACAGCTAAATGCCTAGAAATCTTCAAGCATGTTTCTGGACAATTTGTTAAGTGATTTCTCCCCTCCTCTTTTTCTCTTTTCCCTCCTACCCTTAGGACCGCTATGGTTCATATTGATGATCTAGAAGACTATACCTCTTGGCCATCGGGTGTAACACCACTTGAACTTGGAAACTTGGAAATACCACATGAGAAGTCTACAGGATAATTTCTAAACTGAGCAGAGCTGAGGTCTGCTTGAGAATAGAAGAAATGGACATGCTTGTCCTATACTCAAAAGTTTTCTGGACAATTGTTTTGTATTAGAAAACAAATATTTTGTCAAAACCCAGCCTTCAATGATTGAAGTATGGGCCTTTCCAGAGAACACCCCTCTGCTGCTATGGATTGAGATAGGGTGCAGATGTCATTGTGGTGCTGCTCTTTATATTTCTCTTTGTCTCCCTGACTGCTGTTGGTGGACTTAGTATTGTGGAAGCAGGAAAGTAGTGTGTAATATTTCTCATGCTTCTGCATGAATTCAGAGGCAAATTATAGTACTTGTCGCATTGGTGGAGACTCTAGAACCTGTGCTCCAGAATAGAGTGAAATTCCTTCCTCTGTCCTTGGTAATCTTACTGCCTTAAAGGAACCAGTGTGATGCACCATTTTAGAATAGTGGCTTAAAAGCACAAACATACAGCATGCAATGAAAGGTCAGAACTCTTGGCCTTAGTTAAGATTCTTTTATTTTGCAAATATGACTGATGATAAATTTGTGCAGGAGATAGGAGATCTTCAGTGATAAGCAAGGAAAGGTTATCAAACCTTTCCTATAATCAGTTGGTTGTCCATTGAGTGCTGTCTTTTATTTCATGTGCTAAAAGAAATTGGAGCTGAAATGCGTGTTTACTATATTCACTCCATTTACTGTGTCCCATTGTTGTTGCATAACCATTGCTACTACTGCCTTCCTTTGGAATCACAATAATGGGCTTGACTGAACACCATAGCTCTCTTGCAAACTATATTGAATCAAAATCAGTCTCAAGAAGGCTTCTTCCACCTATCCAGGCATCACTATTGTCCCTATGCTTTCTGGCATTGTTTTCATAAATTGCTACAGCTTTATTGATCAAAGAGGAACTGGAATAGATAAATGCTCCCAGCCTACACTGCTAATCTCATGCCTGAGACAATAAAAGGTATTTTGCTCCAAAGCACCCGTTGCATCTGCATGCTAAATCCCATGTTTCAGTGATATTTTTCCACCGGAGTATTCTCATTTCAACAGAGTGGGAGAATTATTTCCTTGTGAAATGGTGCTTACTGTTGTAACCATTTTGCATTCAAATTGCATGATTGTTGCTGCTGCACTGTGGGTTTATCTGGAAACTGCCACCAAATACAGTGTGTCCCCTAAGACGACAAGCCAGTTGTTTAATAGGAAGAGTAATCACCAAGAATACACTGGAATTATGTCTTGACTTTCAGTGAGGTAAACTTGCTAGAGGCAGCTGAGGTTACCAATGCCCTTTGAGGTTACCCACTTTCACATTAGTGTAACTCATTAGTGCAATTAATCTGCTTATGCCTTGTGCACTTCCTATGAAAATAAATGCCTGCATGGACTGACCAGAAATTTCCCCCTTTGCTTGCTTCTCCTTTGTGTTCATAGGATTCTGAAAATAGCCTCTCCAGTTTCAAGTGTTAGAGATTTAAAATTGTTTGCTCAGTTCCTGAGCAAGGAGTTTGCAGAGCTCATCAGACCACTGCTTTTTCACTCAAGAGATTAGAAGAGGTTTCCCCTGCTTGGGTCATCTCTGTATTTGAAATTCATCAAAATATTCATAAGTGATATGCAGCCAACGTTATGGCACTGCTTTATGGGGTTTTAAAGGTGAGAGAGATGGAATCTTTCTCCTCTCCAATAAATCAGACTGGATTCTTGTGTTCTCAATTTCTTGCGGTTCTTATTTTCCTGGGCCCCAAATAATAATATAAAATGTGTTGTTAGAAATCACACCCTCCATCGTATTTTCTATACTAAGCTCTAAGAACGAAAATTAGATTTAAAGTAAAGCTAAGGTTATCATGTATGTTATTTAAAAAAAACACGAACCTTCTAGAAGTATTCTATAACATTATGACGACTATTTTTTGACTGCAAGAAATATTGCCTTATAGTTTCAACTGTATAACATTTATACTTCACTTCCCAAGGAAAGAAAGAAAAATCTTTCGTTGAAATTCTTTAGTACTACTTATGTCCTTTCAAAAGACATCTGAATAGCAAATGATGCAGTTGCTACTTTTTGTAATATAACTTATTGTTGTGACTCCGGGATTTGAATCTGTTCCGTTGGCAGATGTGAGCTCAAGTGAAGAGGACCTGGCAGTGAGATTTAAGCCTGCATTGCTGAGTGATTTTGAGGGTAGCCAGGATGAGGAAGTGGACTTGGCTATGAGAGACGAACCTAATTTATTAGAGCTGTCAGAGCCTTCTACCTCCCCCAAGTTTCCATCTTGGATTACGCAGCAGCCGGTGGCAGATAAACAGGAAAACGTGCGAGAGGTTTCAGGAGAGGAGGAAAACTTTGAGGGATCCTAGCTTGATGTGAGAAATAGACGGAGATTGAGACGTCAATCTCAATTGGGAAAGAGGCGTCGAGCCAATGATTAATTAATGAGACTAACACGCCCCCTTAGGGGATAAAAGGAAACGGATTGGCTTGAGAAATTTGCCAGAAGCAAAGTGTCTTGTTAGAGCGAAAGTCTTGTGAAGATTCTCTGAGGCATTGTGATTTATAGGCACTTCAGGTTTGCCAAACAGATAACGGAATTACTGCTGAGGACTGGAAAAACTTCAGCAGTTATCTTGTTTGGGGTTTGTTTTTGTTTGCTTATATTTTTGGAACTTCAGAATTGTGATTGCTCACCTGTGGATACAAGTGAGGCATAACAACTTATGATGCAAGAAATCTCAATCTGCAACATTCTTTATTTTCTATACATAGTTCCCACTTCACAGGCCTCATCCTGAACCCACAGTGAAAAAAATTACCTATCCCTCTGAGCCATGCATTTTCCTTTCTGATCTGGACTTTCATAAAATACGTTAATACCAAGCAGTATAATAAAGGGTTCATATGAAGGGAGAAGGTAAAGTCTTGTGTGTACAACAGAGATCAAAGGATAGTGATGCAAACTCTACATAGAATTTAAATTTCTTAACACTGAAACAAATGCTCTCGTATTTCAATCAATATGGCATATTTGCCACAAGAGAGCAGCATGGTCCTACAATTGCAATAGGTCTCCCATCTCCCTTTTCCTTAAATCCAACACTTCGGGTTATAAGGACCTGTTAAACCATTGTATATTCATTTAATCAGTTCTCTGAAGAATCTGTCTCTTCTGTGGAGCCATCACTTTCAGTATCCACTTTCCGACGGTGGTGGAGCGGCCTCCAAAGGGAACAGATGCGTGGTGAAGCACGAGAAGGCAAGTTTGTTGCATCCCCACTTGCACTAGAATTGGATACTGAAAGGCCTGAAATTGATGCAATCCTGAAAGAAAGAAAGAAAGAAAGAAAGAAAACCCTGTTGTAACTTTACTTTGGTTCACATTTGTCATTATAAAAGTTGTTAAAGCATACTGGGGAATGTTTAAAAGTATGGAACAATAATTTGCTAAAGTATTCGGAGAAGAGGAATGCAGTCTTTGGCCACCTTTACAATTGGAGACTGAGCTCCTTTGCTTAGAAGCTCAGAAAATTGCTCCTATAGAAACGGTGAGATGTTTGAAATTTTCTTTTGCATGAAACAACATTTGGAAAAAGCAGGCTTGCTCCTTTCTCGATATATCTCGATATATCAACTGCACAATACTTCCTTTTGAAATGATTTTTATTAACATTTTCAGAGATTAAAAAAACTAATACCAGTTAAAATAAATTAGAATATATATATAAACAAATTTTAAAACAAAATTTTAAAGCATCATCATTCAGTCCTGATAAAAAGCCCATTAAAATTTATGAGAAATAACATATTTTAACCTTTAAAAAGACAACTTTATATTCCTTTACTTTGCTTTTTAACACAGCAACTTACCACTTTTTTTGAAAATACAACCAAAGATCTCTTCCTCTTATACCTCATCACTTGCATATAAGCAGATCTTTAAAGCCTCATCCTTCAGTCTTGGTCAACAAAAACCCATTAAGAGTTACCAGAAAAATATATATCTTATTTTAATCTTGATCAAATAAACCAATTTATATTCCCTCCCTTTGCTTTTAACAATACCGATCTTTGACCTCTTTAAATAATGTCCCAATATTTTATTTTGTTTTGTCTGCTCAAAACTTTAATGCATCTCTTTTGTAGACGCAAAATAAGTTATTCAATGCAAAAGTTATGAGAAACGTATAAGAAAGTTAGCCAGTGTATAAGTTGTTACAAGAAAGTTGTCTAATTCAATGTAAGAATGAATAACAAAACCATCAGAACAGCAAGATTCATTACACCGGGTGAGTCTCTTTCAATCCTCAGCAAAAGTAGTTTATGCAAGTTTAAGGAGTTCAAAATGTTTTAGAATAAACAAAGAGTGATTAGAATATTGATTCTGGAAAGTTATAAATGGTCTAAGGGGGCCGAAATTAATTAGAAGAATGCATCCTTACAATCCTGTGGGTTGTTTAGAATTCTATAAAAATATGTGGGGAAAAATTGAAATTAAGGATATGTAACTTTCCCATGGGAAAATGCTGTTGATTAGGAAAAAAAAGACAAGATTTTGAAAGTTGAACACAAAAGCAAACTAGAAAGAACTAAAGATCAAAATTATAGAAGAAACTCAAGTTTTATTGGGCAAGACAAAGAATGAGGCTGATTTGAAATGATAGGTTATAAGAATGATATGGAAGATGTTACCTGGATTTATAAATGAAACTGGCTGATGTCATCATAATTAAAAGGGATATACAAATAACAAATAGATATACAAATAGCTTTCCTTTGCTCCTTGAATTAACTTCAATTCTACCTGCCACGTTTTAGAGTGAAAGGAAAAATTACCATTGCTGTTATGTTAACTGCAAGAATTCTGCTGTGACACCTGAAAGGAAAAATAATGGCATGCACTTAGTTGTTCTCCATTTTAAAAATACTTACAGTTTCTCTAATTCCTGATCCATAACTGGGTCAAACAGCAACTCTGCTTTCTCAGGGAGAGCTCCTAAAAATGAATGGCAAAATGAGAAAACCCAATTTAAATTCTTAACCAAGAATAAGTTTCTATATACTGTAATACTATGGAATCTGAAGTGAATCCACCCATGAAAATGGAAATATATGAAGAGGAAGATCTGCTCAATAATTCCAATGGAATTCATGCTACAAACTGCTCTCTGTATGGCTTAGGTTTGTTAGCCTTCTTCAAAAAGCAATTGAATTTGCAGACACTCCTCCTGCCAACTGCCTGATCACCCTTTTCACAATTGCTACATTTGGAGGATCTTGTCCTACTCCTACAGGAAACATTTTTTGTAGCATCCCAGCATCCCATTAGCTCAGTGTGAGGATGGTCTGTTGTGGCTGATGTCCTTCAAACAATCATTTTATCACGTTATACTGTACATGGACTTCCATAAAACATAAAAGAATGATCAACCTAAGAATTATTATTTATTTTTTAATCTATCTCTATCTCTATAATAGCTCCCCATCTCTACTTACTTGTAAGTCTTTCACTTTAACAATCAGCACTGTAGCTCCTACAATTGTCTTAATAGTAACATACATGAAATTTCAGACTTTTGCACTAATAAGGAAGGTTATTTGGTATACAAGGGAAACCCAGTTAGCTGACTAATCAGGACCTCACCGACTTCCAAATATGGGAGGCTGCTGTATCTTAGTAAGTAAAATCATCTACATTAATATTTAAAACAGTCACTAAAATATTAAATCCACATAAAGTTGCATAACTACACTGAATTAAGAGCCCCATTCTTCTCTTTAGAGTTTGGACCACTTCATAATTGACAAAGAACATTAAAAGGGCGTTTGCCTGACAAGGAAGCAAAGAATTTGCTTTCTAGTATGAGCAAAGAAAATGCAGCACAATCATGTTTTAAGTGCCTTTTTAAGAATACATTATTTGGAGGGGGAGGGAATCTCAAAATACTAACTTTGAGGTCCTTGTCATTCATCAGCAACTTATAGCTGCAGCAGGATTGTGCATATGAGTACATTTACTGGCAGAGAGGCCCATCTGTCCTTAACACATGATACTGCTTAGATATCTAATGCTACCACTTGATGCCTAAATTTACTTGATTGCTCTTCCCTTCCTCATTCCTTTTGCACTTTGTCAGCTACACGATGAGCCCGTGAACAGAGCTGGTTTTGGTTTTCATTCTTCGTGTAGGCACTGTGGACAAGGATTCCGTTCATGAAGCATGATCTGAATCTAGCAGATTCAGGTTGCCAATTTCCTTAACAGCCCTTTATCGTAGATGAGGAAAGGGAGACTCCAGTATGAATTGCTTACTCTGTTATTCTGTTACTATGTCTCCTTTATTTATCAATATTATTGAAATGATCAAATATCATTATACTTGAAATAAGTTGGGGGAAAAAATCAAAATTTTTGATGAGTCATATTTCATTTTTACAAGACTGTAGACTATATTGCTGTAAGCCAGACTTGAGGCGATAAAAAAAATGGATTTTAAAAAGAGCCTTACAATCCAGGAACAAATACAATGGTTCACAAGACAGATTTGTGCAAAGTGTCTTGAACAGGTAGACATGAATCTAGATGAATCCCCAAACTGCATACCATTTTTGTCTAGGGCAGGTCAACCCCTGCCTGGGGGGACAGAGCGCGTGGGGGGGTCATGTGCACATGCGTGTGGGGGTGGGGTGCATGTGGGGGGTCATGTGTGCATGCCAGGGGGGTGGGGTGCATGCATGGGGAGGCACAATGCATTTTGGGGGTTCGCACGCGTGCATTCGTGCGTGCACATGTGCACTTTGGGCACTTGGTCTGGAAAAGGTTAGCCAGCTTTGCTGGCTGAGGAATTCTGGGAGTTGAAGTCCACAAGTCTTAAAGTTGCCACGGTTGGAGACCCCCTGCTCTAAGGCATCTCCACATGAAATATATAATCATATTGGTCTACTAACTGGAGTGCAAAAAAGAGGGAAAGAAGGCCTAATTTTCTCCCTGGTTACCTCAGATACATATTCTGTGAAGATAACATATATCTGAAGATGGAGAGAAGATTTTCAGATGCCCTGATACACTATGGCAAAGAAGTGGCCCACTGGGATTACCTGACAGCTGCGCTTTCTCCTCCTGTACAATAAATTGTACTCTTTTTTTTTTTTAATACAGTGTGGTGCATGGGACCTAACTGGAGTCTGTTGTCAAGAACAGAATGCTCTTCCTGCCTTAGATGTGGAAGTCTACAGAGAAGAGTCTGCACACACAGTTCTTGGCGTAACTTGGCATCCCCGGCCTGTATATGGCTCCCAGGGCAGCAGATCCTCACAGAGATCTTTTGCATAACCCTTCACCTTGCAGCAGTCACCCATGGGAGAAACAGGGATGAAACCTGTTCCTGGAGATGAAACCTCTTAATGAGAAAGAAAGCTGCACTTGAGGAGGGAAGGGGCAATCTGTTTCTTCTGTCCTGCCTAATATCCCCCAAAAGAAAGGCACTCTTATATCCCTAGCACTATAATGAGCAAAAAGGGGCTGCTGCCAGCCTTCCGCAGCCTCCATTTCCTGAATGCGAAGCTTGTTCTTGCATCTAAAGATCTCAAGGGTGCTCCAATCTCTTGGGAGAATTGGTCAACAATACGCAGTGGATTGGAGAATCAATATTGACACACGGGAGTGAGGCTGGGCCTGCAGTCTGCTTGACAAATTCATCAGCTGCCTTCTAATCTCTCCTTCTCTTCCCTTTCAAGATCCTGGTGAGATTGGAGGCAGGGTGGGCCCCTGCCTGGAAGCGCTTTCCTTCCTCATCTGAAGCTCTCTCTCGCCTGGAACTGCCCTTGCCTGTGGGCCTTGAGGGAGCCTGTGATCCCTGGCAGACCAAAGCCTATTCAAATGATCCCGTGTGCAGGGAAGATGAAAAGGCAGGAGGAGAAAAATCCTGCTTTCGTTGCCAAGATGCCTGCACCTGTTACACTTACAGCTGCCCCGCAAGAGGCCTCAGTAGGAGCCTGGCTGGGAGCCAGGACAGGCCTTTCTTAATGGAAGGAAAAACCCGTACACAATGGCGGCAGTAGGCAGGGCTTTCTCAGCCCATCTGTTTGCTTTGCACCTTACTGGAAGTGGATTTTGCACAGGCAGAAAGAAAAGCCTGAACTGGGGCGATCTAGGCATCGTCTTCGCTTGGGAATGCATTACTAGCTAAGCTTGTTTGCAGAAGGGATTGAGGGCTTGTATCGTGTTCCTTTTGATATATAATCTCTACGCTTTGGGTAAACAGCAGCTCCAGTTGTTGGCAGGGGATGGGACGCTGGAAAGGGAGGGGAGTTTGGGCTAAGACATATATCCTTGAGCGAAGAAAATGCAGAGGCATCAAGAGCAACTTGGATGGCTGCTGGCAGAATCAAGAAGGCATGCTGCTCTATTCAGAAGCCCAGAGATGCATCAGGCCCACTGCCGATCTCCAACACAGACAGATTCTGCTATGGAAAAAGACACCCACTTTTTCAAAGCCTGATTTTAAGGTTGCAGGACAAATAACAGTCCTGAAAGGGCGTATGGGCATTGCTTCTGTCCTGGAATCATGAGGTTTCTATTGAAACAAAGAAGTCTTGGCTTCTTCAGAAGAAAATGAAGAATTAAGAAAAAACCAGGATCTTGTTCACTTGCATGAATTAAGCTAAATAAGGATCTGGGGCACAGAACAGATCATAATGGTAGTTGCCCATCTCTTTCCTTGCTGCTGGAGGGTTATAACAACACCTGAAAATCTAATAGGGATAGATGGGAATTAAGGGACCTTTTTGTTTTGTTATTGACTTGCCCTGTTTCAATCTCATGGAATTGTTTTGCTTTAAATATAAACTTTTCTGGTATATACCTACTAGACCTGCGGACTCTGTAACCTTCACAAAAAGAATCTAGGCCACCAAATCCCTAAAATATTATGCATGGAAAATACAGGACTTTTCATTACCAAGAGCTTTGTTGATCCCATGATGCTTTGCAAGAGCCATCAGAAATCCATAGAAAGTTACTCTCTGTACATTGCTCAGAATTTCCTTGAGAACAGTGGCTGGGGGGCAGCTAGGCAAACACAAGGAACACAAGAAAAACGCTTGATATATTGATGTCTGTGAATTACCTTTCTTTAGACATAAGACCGATCAAACTGAATGAATTGAGTCATCAACATCACGAACCCATTTTACTACAGTTTGAGAAATGTATCTTTCTGCAATGAGAGAGAATGGACTAGTAGTTCCATGGGCACTCATGGTTCCTTTTTAACTTGGGAGAATCATGGGAAGAGAAGGTCCAGTGAAAAGCATTTCCCAATTACTTTAAACAATACCTTTCTTCTTCATGTTGAAGGAAATCTAGTTGGCCAGGCAGCAATTAAAGCAGCATTGGGAAACTCTGGTATGGTGGTCAACTCATTCTATGGGTATTCGAGAAGAGTTCTCCCCTTTCCCAGAGCCTCCCTCTATACCATTAAAGATTGTTTGTATTTTCCTGATAGGTCATTTCATACAAGTTTTCCCCAGTGGGTGAACCTATGTGTTAGACAAACGTTCAGGAATCACCCCGTGCTTTTCCCATTTTTCCCTCAGTGGAAAGGCATGGAAAATGGTGGCAATGTAGTGGGAAGTATGTTCTATTCATTTGCAAATATGAAAAGAGCATCACTTCCAAAGAGTAGCAAATTGTTGCTTGATTGCTCTGCATGTAGGAGAAAATGTGACCTCTTTCTTACCGTATTCTCTAAAAATGTATGTTTCTATGTTCACTTTTCTCTATGACTTTTCCCACTGTGTGCATGTACTGCTTTTCTTTCTGTATGTTTTTGGCATATGCAAAATAATTATTGCAACCTTTTGTCCCATTTGACGCTGAATGTTTGGAAAAGCCTTGAATCAAACTGAATGCCACAAGCAAGCTGTTTAATTGTTTGCTGTGACAGAGATTCCAAACACAAAGAAAAAGTCCAACCCTTTACAAGGGGACTTTTAAGCTACCCTTTTAAAATGCTTTGTTCTATAGGTGACAATTGTAGGTTGTCAGTAGAGCACAGTTAGGACTGATGTGATGAAGAACAACGTTCCATGAAATCTTGCCCTTTTATCTTCTTCACAAATTATATCATTTTCTTGTTATTTTAATTGCAGCTGAACTCTCTTCACTAATTCATTTCTTTCTTTCGGTCAATGTAGTTTTTTCATTGTAAATAAAGTATACTGGTTATTAAAATGAAATAGCTCTTTTTCCATGTGCTTTTTCTCAGAGAAATCAATAAATTAAATCGATGAGTCTGACATATGGATGTCAAAATATATTGATATAATAAATATAAAATGGGTATAAAATGGGGCAGAACTGTTGGCAGCTGAAAATCAGTTGCATAATACATACAAAAGTCAAATTTTAATCTGTACCAATGCCTGACACACATTTGTTTCAGGAAATAGAGGAACAGCGCAAGACTGAAGATACAAGATCACATTTACAAGAGCTTTTTGATATGGATTGTTTGTACCAAAATGTCAGTAAGCCCCTTCCTTACCCTGAAGCCAATGAAATAGATACAGCTTGTTTGAACCCAGATGGCCTTACCTGTATTTAGATTTGTCACATAATGATTCAAGGCACTGGTAAAATGCAGATGCCTCCACCCCATCGACTGGACTGCACTCACTGAGAGTTTGACGCGAACGATGCTGTCCAGAAGATGACGTAGGCACAATCACGGTGTTTGGATTTTTACCTGTCAACAGCTCTTGATAGATGGCGGCCACATTTTCAATAAACTCTGTTCAAAAACAAAGATAGGTTGCAAAAATCACTTATCAACGTACTGTAAGACTATGTGCTATATAAAAGACTGCATTAACTATGTATAGTTAATGTGCTATATAAAAGACTGCATTAACTATGTAGCTAATTAATTCTATTCTAATTATACATTGTATTTTGAGAACGTTTTACTGTTTCCAGAGATCATATAAATATGCAGTGACCAATATCAATATGCAATTTACTTGCTAATTTAGTTGCTATTTGACATGAAAATCACACAAAGGTTAACAAAGCTAACTCAAAGTGCCTTTTGGGTAGCCAATTGATTCTATTCTTTGGACTAGGTTTTCAATTATGTAGAGTGTTCATTGTGTGAAGAAGCATAAAAGACAAGGTCACCCAATCAGAATACACACATACACAGACAGACAGACAGACACACACACACACTTCCATAGTCAGAAATAAACATAAAATTTAGATAGTTGGCATTGTTAGAGGTTTCAGGAGAGGTGGATTATGCAGGCTCTGGTGAGCAACCCAGTGTGTTTCAATGCAACTTCAAATTAAGTACAGTATGGGATCAAAAGAGATATTAGCAAAGAAACTGACTGAAAGCATTCTCCATCTGGCTCCAAAATTTTCCTGTTATTTACTCCCAGAAGCTGCATATAAACAAGTTTTTAAAACCATCCTGATCAGCTATGCAAAGATGTAGATTCCACTCTGAGTGTTTTGCATTCATGCATATTGGTGGGTGACTTGAAAACAACTGTTAAATTTGGATAACAACAGAAATGGTATCCAAAGGTATTAGTGTGCAAATCTTTGCATGCATGATTGGAACCTGCAAAAGTGTATATGCCGAAACAGATAGGTGACATTTTAATGTGAATTTGAAGGTCTGAAATTCTCAAAGGATGAAACATATCATAAATTATTGCTTTTTATTTTCCTTTCTCTGTTAGTTTGATCTCCAGAGTAGCTTAATCTCCCTCATCCAGATGACACAACTGTCGAGAGAAAGATGACTTGAGGAAAGGGTTATTAATTGCCATGCAATTGAACCTTGCTTCGAGAGAGAATTAACAGAGAAACTTGCCTTAGTAGTAGCAGTGAAATAAGCCATTTAGTACAATGCTCTCTCTGAGATGATAATAAACATTTACATGCAATCATTTATTACATTTTACGTTCAAATGAAAAACATTTATAACTGGCCCTTGCTTTCATTTAGTTCTCAACAGAGGCAAAACCGTACCTCAGAATAAAACAGCTGATCTTGCTCCAAATATTTGGAATTTCCTACCCAAGCCTAAGTACCAGTCAGCTGCCTAAAAGTCTATGTTTTGTCCTAATACTGTATATCACAAAAGTTATTTGCTTCTTCCATTTCATTTTTTTCTTGCTTATTCCCAAATTACCCAACCGAGGATTCTAAAGTAGCAAATAAAGAAAATGAGTTTTAGAGACAATAGGTTTTATAAATTTAGTTGACTAGACTGGATCCAGTTCAATAGATTTTATTATAATTTTATACACTATTTTAAATTAACTACTTTGTCATTTATTGTATGTTCATGGATATTTGCTGTTCTTTCCCAGTCTTTCTCTCTGTGTCTCTCTTATACTGGTTATTGACTATAATTTGTAATATTGGAAGTTCCTATATGCAATAGCCTTTTTGGAAGGATGTGCAAAAGTTACATAGAGTTTATCTTATGTGTAGAATCTGTCTATGTAACTGTAAATCAAGGTGCTGGGAAGCTGTCAACAGCTTTCGAGCATTTCTGTATGCTGACTGATGAAAACAAATCTCGTAAACACATTTCAGGAAGATTTGCTCTACCAGGAACAAGGTAACATAGACTGGGGATACCCCTGAGATGCTTACAAGGTTTTGTAACTTTAATCACTGGCGGAAAAATGGTGCTAAAACTTGCCAGCTTTGATTCTAACATCTCCCTATGTAAGCAGGCTCTCCAATCTCCAGTATTCCTCCGATTTACCAGAGAGGTCCCAAAAGGGAGGAACCAAATAAGAAACTAATCTACACTCAAGACCCTAGCACTGAGGAGCCTGATGGAATCGGCACATATAGGAATACTAGGAATAGGATATGTTTACAAAAACTCACTTCCCTACTATGGCCTGGAATCTGAAACGTTTTAACAGAGCTCTGATATTTGTGGAGGAAGAACTCCTTATTGACAAAGCTACATTTTATCAGCTTAGAATGTCAACCTTTTCACCTCGTCTTCAGTTTATATACATGCATTACTCCAATCTAAACCATCCTTATATTACCTATGCAGAATTACCATCCTTGAATTCATGCATGCATCAGCCATCACAGAGGTTGTAGAGTTGGCCTGGTGCTTACAGGAATTAACACCGCATGGGAAAGGCCAGGTAAGTTTGTTTAATTATATAAGGATTTTATATCAGGAGCAGTGGCTGTCCTTCATGACTGATCTCAGCTTAAAGTCTGACATAACTTACAAAGTCTGTAAACAGTCTTAGAGATCTTGTTCTCTGACTTGCTACTAAAAGCATTCAGATTGGTAATACCAGCAAAGCATTTTCAATTACCATTCCACTCTCATAATGTTTTCAGTTAAGTAATTCTGTTGGGGTAGACATATACACATAGCTGGTTTTTTTGGCCTTTAGTATATATATTTTTATCTAGGCTGTTATCAGTTTTTTTAAAGCTATTTTATTGCAACTGCTTATTAAGACTTGCTCTAAAAGGCACAGTGGGAATATATTAATTAAAACAATCCTCAGATATACAGAACAAAGCTTGACATACAGATTTCAGACAGCACAGGTCTTATTATAGAGCAAAATTGTCCGACCAAGGTCGTTCCCAGTATGATGCTATGTGATCTGTCCGATTACATTAATCACAAATGTAATAAAGTGGGATAGACTTGCCTGAGTAGTAAAACTGGATCTGGAAGGCAAACAGGAAGTCTGAAAAAGACATCAAACAGTCCACAGCATCATCCATTAAAACAATCCTGGAATCAAGAAGGAGAATGCTCAGCAACAGCCAATGTGGTGTACAGCAGAGATACAGGGCATTGGAAGTGAAGCAGAAATGTTCAGGACTGATAAAAGGTATTACATTTTGTTCTCCAAATCAGTCCCCGGATCTGTTGTATTAAGCCCACCAAGTTTCTTCTTAATGCTTTATGATACTTTTGTTATTACGGCATTGTTGTTATTATTCTTTTATTATTCCTAGAAAGTACCACTAAAGACTGATGGATAACAGCATATTTGTTTGTTTGTTTAATTAATTTAACCAACTAGCATTTTCAGTTGATAGCCAGTGCTGTAGCCTCCAGAAGAGTGGGATTCTACAACAGCAATTCCCTCCCAACAGTCTTGTTCCCCACATTCTCTACTATTTGCAAGTCCCAAGTCCTCTTCAAAGACAGCCCTTCATATGGTGCTTGGGTAATGGGTTGTGTGATTACCTTGTGAAAGTCATTCAAAAAAGCAATCTAAAGCCTTGAAAACTAGATTGTCAAGAAGACTACAGTTATCCTTATGAGCAGAGTATAACAATCTATATTTCCTATTGCTTGTTTTTATTTTATTTATTTATATTTATATTTTATTTGGTTTGTCAATTGCTTACAAGATAATAGGTATAAGTAAAAACATAGTTA